CACAATCCTCGGGAAGCTAGGTCAGCGGGGTTCTGCCTCGACATCACATAACGCCACTGATCAGGACGTGAACACTGGTGGATCATGGATATTCGATTGGCTAAGTAAGTCGGGAAACGTTGCGTGAAGCATCGTAGAAGTTGCAAAACGATCATGGAGTCGGTCCAAAAGCACAGCATACCAAATGCACTTCTTCGACTACTTGCGTCGCAAGTCGCGTCGATAAGACAGTGATAGTGAGCTCCAAACGAGGAATAGACACGGTCTGTATAGGAGTGACTCTAGCCTTAACGGGAACTGGATGGCATATAACTTCTTCATTCTCACCCACACCTCACAGGTACACGACAGCCCCGTGTGCTGCTTCTGAGGCATCTGAGAAGCAGCGTAGCTGGAGAGCAACCCTTCGAAATCCCTTAGGTGTTAAACAACGAGGTATAGACACACGGCTTAACTCCTTTAGCTCCTGTAACCATCGGATCCAGTGATTGTATTCTTCTTCGGATAGCTGCCCGTCCCATTCCAACTTCTGTCTGACAAGGTACTGCAGTAGCAGCTTTGGTGAAGGTAAAACTGGTGCTTGGATGCCCAAAGGGTCATAGACGGAGGCCTCGAAGAATAAAATCTTTCTTCGAGTGGAGCTGTCTTTGAATTCCTTCAATTCGAACTGCATACGGTCTTCGGTTCCACATCACACGAAGTGCACTTCACAAGCACCCGTATTGGATTCTATGATGAGATTCTGGAGATCTTAATTCTTCTGGAGGTAAGGGTCTCAGGACACCGTCTTTATTACTGATCCACGTCACCAAACGGAACCCACTGAGTAAGTAATAGTTTTGAAGTTGTTAATCAAACCTAAGGGTTCTTCCTCAAAGTTCACACTGAACAAGCAATCGTTGACATAAAACCACTCCTTAAGTAGGTCCATCATATATTTCGGGAACCTTCCTGCATTATCAGCAAGCGCGAGATTCGCACAACTGGAAGAAGGTGTGGCGCCCAAGAGGTGAACTGTCATCCGGTATGAACTAGGTGAGATAGACATGTACCCGTCGTCCCACCATAGAAATCTCAAACAATTACG